ATATCATAGTAGCATGATTGGATTTGGCACCTAACTCTTCCAAAGAAGATTTTGCTAAATATGTGGTTGGCCATGAAAGGAGCTCTCTCGGTAGATGACAAAATTCAAAAGGTTGGTATCCCAATTGTATCAAAGTGTATGTGTTGCTTACAAGAATGATACGAGGATCAAGATCATGTCTCGGCCTTGGGGGATGTTCCTCAACAAATTTGGCAAAAAAATTCGACCTTACTGGGAATTCAGTGCATGCAGACTCGGGGATGGAGGAAGCGTGCAGAAACTTGGTTCCGAAGAGCAAAACAAACATCACATAAAGGTACTTTGGTGGGTATTATTTCTAGTATAATTTGCTGGCATTTGTGGTTGAGGCATTGTTCAACCAAGATGAAGGGAAAGGTGGAATCAATAGAAGCTACTTGGAGGAAGATAAAATATTGGATCTCTTTGGTGGGGTTGGAGCTTAAAGAAGCGAAAATGTTAAACATAAGAGATGAATGGGTGCTGAGGGAGCTTAATATATCAATGAAGCTGATTAAAAGAAAAAAGTTCAAAGTAGTGAGATGGCAAATACCACCAAAAGTGTGGTAAAAACTCATTACTGTTGGTGTTGTCTGGTCAATCTAGGAATTTGTGGTGCTGGAGGTATTCTTCGGAATGAGAAGAGCGACATTGTCATAGCCTTTGTTGAGAAACTTGGTGAGGATACTAATAATGGTGCTGAGCTTTGGCATTACTGCATGGGCTCCATCATGCTAGAAGGATATGGATTAATAGTCTAGAAGTGGCTAGATTCTTTGATTATCGTTAATTGGCTGAGGAAAGTTTGTTGTATTTGGTATTTGGAAGACTACTGGAAAGAAATACAATATCTGTTGTCTATAATCTTATGTAAGGTCAAGCACATATATCGTGAAGGTAACTTGGTAGCCGATAACTTGTCGAAGCTGGGTGTGTCTAGTGTTTCATAGATTTGGATGGACCCTAACACAGTCCCATCGTCAGTTACAAGAGCTTTGCGTATGGATATTAAATTGGGCATCCTTAGTTTACAGGATTTTTCTTTTCTTAGTTTGACTTTAAATCTTAATGTTGTTTTAAATTATAAGGAGTTTGGTTCACTTTGATTTTGATTGTGTTCGTCTGTAACTACGGTATTTTTTTCGCCATAAGTAAGGGTTCGTTAATAAAATTCCTGGAGGTTTCGTTTAGAAGAAAAATCAAAATCTAAGCTAACAGAACAATCAAATTAGGTTGAAGGTACGAATTCGGGTCGGTCCAGCCAACTGAACATGACCTGGCCCTTGTTCAGCCTATCTAGGCCTACACGACCCTTCCTCAGGAAATCAACCAAAAAAAACTGAATTTTGTTGGGCAGGGTGGCCATCCTCGTACAACATATTTCGTGCATCGATTGGACGTTGCAATGCTGTGAAGTGACTATTCAACGCAAAATCAAGTTTGGTGCATGGTTTTGGGAATTATAAGGTTATTTTTCGTTGTGCAACTATAAAAATATTATTATTATTTTGGGACTCAGATGTTGCAATAATTTGAAGTGATTCCATAATAGAAAAGCCTGCAACTTCAATAATTCTAAATATCTCTAACATTCAATCCTTGTCTTGATATTGTCAAAATGACCTGAATTAAAGGAAACTCAAGACAACGTATTTCAACCAACTAACATTATAAAACCAAAAAGCCTTAAAAATTCAAATTATAAAAGACAGACATACGTATAATTCTCTCTTACGTCAGAGAATTAAAATTGAAAGAAATAAAAGCATGGCATGGCATTAAAAGAAGGATGCCTTGCTTTCTTGTCCCCTCACTTTTGACGTCCTGTCACTACACCTCGCCTTTTTTGTGTTCAAAATATTTTTTTTTTTATGACGTGCCAAAGTTTAAATTATTATTATTATTAGTTTGCAAAAACACGATTAGGTTTGGTTTGGTTTCGACGGCTGGATTTGATTGTTTTAAATTGGAATTGATCTAAACCAATTGAGTCGGTTTTGGGTTGAGCTCCAAACCGAACCGTGCCCATGTCTAGTTTTGGCGATTCAATCGGCATATGATTATTTTCACGTTTTAGGTTTTTTTTTTTTTTTTTTTTTTTTTATAATTGGCGCAAAACGTTCTTACCTGTGACGATTTTTGTGGAAAACGTCCATACCTTTGATTTTTTGGTGCATAACGTCTCTACCTTTTACATTCTTTGTGCTAAACACCCTTTTCACCAATTTTTAACATAAATGGCCAATATACCCTTCTATTTAAATAAAGCAAAAGAAAAATAAAGAATAAATTGTAACTATATGTCCAAACTTTTTAAAAAGTGCAAATAACCCACCAAACTTCACATTCTTTAAAAATTATAACTTACCCTAAATCCATAATTGCATGAGGGTCCCCAAAATTTAATAAATTGCAAGGAAAGTCCCCGTCCCCAAATTTGACCAACCGCGAAGAAACTTGGCAGCTTCTACTCCAAATTCGACCACCATACCACCGGCAAACCACCGGATTTTCACACCACCAACATGTCCTCATCCCACTCTACAATTCCATACAAAAACCGGCCATAACAGATCCATAATCAGATGAAATCCAAGCTCAAAAACACGTCCTCACGCACTGTTTAAACATCAATTCTGGCCAACACTTCAACACCCATGACCAAACTCCATTACAGGCTTCTAATACTACTTAAGGTGAGCAGTTTCATGGTCCCATATCATCAACAAACAGTTTAATTCAGATTCGATCTCATCCCAATTTGAAGGCAACGAACCACACAATTTACACCCCAAATTCCGGCGCCGACGTTGAGATTCACAGTCGCGCACCACCATCATTATCTTCTACCCATCATAGCGAACAAAATATACATATGGGTCTTCATGAATTTGTCCCGAATCAACCAATTAGTGAACCGATGGGATTGTAGAATGGGATTTCATCTGATTATGGATCTGTTATGGCCGATTTTTAATATGAGATTGTAGAGTAGGATGAGGAGATGTAGGTAGTGTGGAAATCCGGTGGTTTGTCCGGCGGTATGGTGGTCGAATTTGGAGTAGAAACAGCCAGCTCCATAACCTGCAGGTTTCTTCGCAGGCTGGTCAAATTTGGGGACGGGGGCTTCCCCTGCAATTTATTAAATTGTGGGGACCCTTATGCAATTATGGGTTTATGGTAAATTTATAATTTTTTAAAGAATGTGAAGTTGGTGGGTTATTTGCACTTTTTAAAAAGTTTGGGCATATAGTTACAATTCATTCTTTATTTTTCTTTTCTTTTGTTTTATTTAAATAGAATGGTATATTGGTCATTTTATGTTAAAAATTGGTGAAAATGATGTTCAGCGCTAAGAATGTGAAAGGTAGGGATGTTATGCATAAACTTCAATTCTGGCCAACACTTCATCACCCAAGACCAAACTCAAGCTTCTAATACTACTTAAGGTGAGCAGTTTCATGGTCCCATATCTCCAACAAATAGTTTAATTCAGATTCAATCTCATCCCAATTTGAAAGTGGGGGTTCACATCTAGGACTGGCCAAATGCTCTGCATGTGTGGACAGGCTCGCTGGGTTAGCAAGGCCATGAGATGCTCCCATTGATTTTTCTGCATTACCATTAAATCCAATATGACCAGCTTCCATCTGCATTAATTTTACCCTTTACCTTCTCTTTTCAACACTATTTTATCAGTGGCGAATTACCAGAACAATCATTGCAATTGTATTACTGAACAGCAACTTAAAAGAAGCCATAGATCATGAATAAGGAGAAAAAAATCTATTGGATTGTGTGCATGTTAGACCCCACTCAAAAGAAAGAAAAACTTTCTGGCTTTTTTGGGAGGTATGCTCTTGCATACAACCCAAAAGAGCATACCTCCCAAAAAAGCCAGAAAATCTCAATTTCAAGCAGGCCTATTAAAACCAAAGATTCGATTTTTCAGCTGCTAACAACCCTCCTCATTCTCCTTACTAATATAGAGAGAGAGAAAGAGAGAGAATGTGTGTGTGAATACTAAAGGAAGCAGAAATAGTTTTCAAACAACTACGATGCTAAGAATGACTTGGGGAATGAGTTTGAGATTCATTACAGTATTTTTTGAAACCAAATGTTCTCTATAGTTTCACTTTTAGCTTTCAGAAAATTTCCTATTCTCGAAGGAAAAGCAATAACCCTCTTGTAATGGTCAAGGTGAAAAATATCCACTAAATTTTTTTTGGGACGGGGGCTTCCCCTGCAATTTAGTAAATTGTGGGGACCCTCATGCAATTATGGGTTTAAGGTAAAGTTATAATNTGGGGACCCTCATGCAATTATGGGTTTAGGGTAAAGTTATAATTTTTTAAAGAAAGTGAAATTTGGTGGGTTATTTGCACTTTTTTAAAAGTTTGGGTCTATAGTTACAATTCATTCTTTATTTTTCTTTTCTTTTATTTTGTTTTATTAAAATATAAGGGTATATTGGTCATTTTATGTTAACATTTGATGAAAATGATTTTCAACACAAAGAATGTGAAAGGTAGGGACGTTTTCCACAAAATCCGTCAAAGGTAAGGACGTTTTGCGCCGATTACCCCTCTTTTTTTTACCTTGTAAACAAACTAGATTTTGGTTTATTTGATTGAATCGACTTGTTCGGTCCAAGTATTAACAATATTGATTTCAAATGAGTGGTCAATTACTCTAGAATAAATAAAATTTGATAATTATCATGAAATTTTAGTTGAATAACTATATATGTTCTTAACTATTTGCAAACTAATAGGGACAGGTGACCTCATCAGAAAATACAATAGTAATGGTTTAATCTCTTTTTAGTTTTTCCCTTTTCAATTTCACAATTAAACTAACATGTTTCCTTTGTTTTATACTGAACTCATAGGATTCCTTTAGACAATAATTTAGTTGGTACAAACCATTATACAGAGCTCAATAAGGATGACAACTGTACAAAAAGATGAACAGATCAAGAGTCATCTTTTCTTCTTTTTGGATTTTCCATTGCAGAATAATGAACCTAAACCAAATAAAGTTACAGTACCTTTAGCAATGTAAGTTGGAGGGATATTCAAAACTGGATTAATGTGAACTCCATTGCCATAAGATTTGCTTGAACTCCTGTTCAACGAAGGCCTTTTTGGTGCAATATTGGAATAATTTTGGCTGAAATTTGTAGATGAGTTTCTGCTCCTAGTTGATGGCTCTTTCATTGAATTCTGCTTCTGAATAACTTTTGGCAATGCTGATGGCTTCGGATTCGGAGTCGAACCAGTTGAATTGCTCCTTGATAGAAACTTTAAAGATCTAAGCAATCCATTGTCAGAATTTAAACTGATGCTTCTTCTGAACTGCCAAAATGGCTTATTGGGTGGCTTTTCTTCTTCTTCTTCTTCATCGCAGGTGTTTGATAAAAATTCTATGAGAGTCTTCTTCTTTGTAACTGTGTCTTCATTTGCATTTTCAATTTTATGAGAATCTGTAGATGGATTTGGATCGGTTGGCTCGGATTGATAAATTTCTTTTGTGGGCTCGAATTTCTTGACTTCAACAGGGAGGATTTTGCCATTGGCAAAGAGTTCATCAGCAGATGAAAGTTCTAATGAGAAATTATCACCAATGGAGAAATCAAAATCAATGAAATCCAAATCTGATTGAGGGTTGTGGGATTCTACTGGCACAAAATCTGCTTCTCTTAGATCATAAGAGAATGAGATTCTTGGACTTACAACATCTACTGCCATTCTTGCCGAGGGTTTAACAGTGACAAATGGAGAATTTATACAAGAAACCAGGGCACAGGAATCAAGAAAGAGTGACAGTATTGGATTTGGAAGTCAAAAAGAGCGGAGAGTTAATAATTGAACTTATGGGAATCTACTTTCTTTTTTTCCCCTTTTATACTAAGCTCTATTTCATTTTGAAATTATTTCATATATAGGTACAGCAAAAGTATGTTAAGAGGCACATACCATGACTTACTGAGGAGTGACATTGAGATTTACATTTTAATAGGTGATCGAATTTCGACATCGAAAGGCTAAAAGAAGGAATATAGGGGTAGAGCTTTGAATAGAGGATTTCACTTTAAACGTTCAAGCTACCATTAGAGGAAAAGGTAAATAAAACGGTTTAATGTTTAGGGAAATAATCGATTTGGTTTGGACTTGGTTGGCTTATTTCGATTCTTTATATACTTTTGTAAAAATTGTAATACATGTAAATTTATTTAAATTAACTTAATTCTTGGTTTGACTGAAAGAGAATAAAAAATAATTTTAGAACATATTAAATTTATATAGAACGAAGAAGTGAACTAGCTAATTCTAGTCTAGTTTAGGTGATTTAAAGGGAAATTACCTACTCCAAATTTTGGGAGGCACCACAAATTTGTTTGCATTGTGCTATACGGAGCGATATTATGTACCGTCAATATAGAGATGCTGTAATCATATCTAATTATACAAGTGTTTGGACAGCTCGACGTAAGCCTCAAGTATTTCTTTATTTACACGTTTTAATACATTGGACTACCTAAAATTGTCTTACTCATCGTGCTGTATGCAACGATGTTATCTACCCCCAATATGGTGATGTTATCTAATTGTACAAGTGGTTGGACAAGTTGTTTCACACATTTTGTTCTTTATTTACAAAATATTAATACATTGAACTACCTAATTAAGATTAGTCTTACTTACCCAAAAATATTGGGAGAACCATAAATTTGTTTGCGTCGTGCTATACATAATGATATTCTTTTTACCTACCCCAATTTATTGATATATTTATAGTCATATTTAGTTGTACAAGTGATAGGATAGCTCACCATAAATCTTACAATTATTAATACCTAAAATTACTTAAACTTCCTCTCGATATAAATTTACCGATATCTTGCTAGAATGTGTGCATGACAAGAATGAGAGGCAATGAAATGTAGTGCACCATCAAGAATGATATCTTATGTGCTTTTTAGTGTTTGCTAATTTTCGAAGAAACACAAAATGATGATGCCTATCTTTATTGGCCTCATAGAGTACTTGAAATTAGCCCAAGAGAAATTACCTTTTTCTTTTACATTTCACTGCCTTTGTCTGGTAAAAGAGATGCCTCAATTCATGAATGTGACCTATTGATGTTGAAACTAACCCAAGAATGTAGCAACCTGAAAGGGATGTTGAGTGTGACATTTTTCTAGTGGACAACTTTTTCTGTAGCAATACAAGACTGGAATCTAATGATCAAGGATAAAATTCTTTACTATGATAAAATTAGAAAATTCTCGAGATTTATATTGGGAAAGCTATTTATGCGTAATAATGTTTTATTCTATTATCATCATTTCTCTTCTTCGATTGATCCACTTCATCATCGAAATGCGATAGATTCGTCCCTAATGATGGTGAAAAACCATTGAACAAATTTAAAAGACTTAAATGTACTTTAAGCATAATAAACTCATCAACACTAACCTACCACTTTATTGTTGAACATCAATTCACATAAATAAGTTCATATCATGGTTCAAATTTTTAGAGAAAGTAGTTTATCACGGTATTAAAACAAGCAGAAAATTCTTAATTCAAGTCACGTCATCATTCATTCACAAAAATAGTTAGAAGACAGCATGTTGAAGACAGTTTTACTATTAGACGAAGTGGTTCGACCTTCAAGATAAATATTAACTTTTTAACTCACTCACAATCAAATATTTCAAAATAAGTTACACTTTTGGTACTTATTTTTGGTGCTTATTTTTAAGCATAAGTCATTCCAAACATTCTCTATAGACAATCCCATGTTGGACTAGTAGGAGAGAGTACTTGGTACAATGTCTATATATCTATATCCTTGCAGGCCTTTTTCATAATTCGTGTACAAATCAATTATCAGTGAACAAATCATGTTACCTCACTACTAAAATCAAGTGCAATGGAGACATATTTGGAACCTATTAGAAAAATTTATTACAACTGACAATGAATTGACTAGGGGTGTGGGTGTGGGTGTGGGCGTGGGCGTGGGGTGCGCACTAGTTTCGTTTTTATCCAATTCTCATTATTTGCTTCAACTTTGTTTTGAATATATTCCCAACCTTCTTCCTCTCTCTATTTCACATTTAATTATTCTTTCTTATCTTTGTAATGTTGGCAGACAGAATCAATTCGACCGCGTTTAAGACAAGAAAATAGATAGAATTTTAATTTCTTTCATGGAGAAATGATGGATTTATATGCGAAGGCACAAGTCAGATTAAATTAAATAAAACAGTTATATTCGATTAATATAGGTTTAAAATTAAGAACAGGCGAATCTGATATCTTGCCCACAGTGGATAAAATAAAAATTTATCACCTTTGATGTTGTAAAATAACCTTATTTATGATTGTCTGCAGCAATCATACATTTAGAGAATTATACCTACAGTTTTCATTGTCACATCAGCAGTGAGAAATTTCACATCCACCTAAGGTAAGAGATCAATTTTAGATTAATAGGTTATATAAACATGAAATTCTTGATTAAGACATTTTCTTAATCGAATCAAAACGGAGGAACAGATCCAAGTCGAAGTAACCTCGTTTTTGGCAAATTTGCTAACGGGTAGTAAAGCAAGGGAGAAATTTTTGGATAAGGTATACAAGTAGTTAAATTGCTTGCACTCTTAAATAACTTTTTATTAATTTCAATGTAACTCAAAAATAGTTTAATTTACATTTGATTCCAAATAAATAAATGAATAAATATTTTTTTTAGTTTAGATAGCCAAAAATGTGGTCACTTTTTCAATTATTTAATGCTCTCTTTCGCTATGCATAAACTAAACCAACAATCACCGACGGATCCTAGCCCATTGAATTTTTTTATTTTTTTACATTTTTTTTTTATGTATTAGCCCTACTTGTAATTCGGTCCTGAATTCGTACCTGCCAACAATTAACGTAAAAACTCAAAAAGAATTGGGAAAAATAAATATTAAGGTCGTGGAGAATGTAGAAATTTGTATCATAAACAAATTTTGTCCCCAAAAATTATTGTGTAACCCCAACAACAGTTTTTTAATGTTCACGACAAGTAATCAATTAAGTATGATTAATTTAGGATTGTTGAAAAACGAAAAAAATATAGTACTACCTCAATGCCGCTGGACTTAGTAATTGAATGAGTCATTCTACTTTGACATTTATAAAACATCTTATTATAAAGTTGGATGATTATATATGGTTCCTTAGTCAAAAATGTCTTCCACGCATGCTTGGTTTTTCCTTGAAAACAAATCTTCTTGCTTACGTCTACCATATTATCGTGCAAGCCATAGCGTGTGCTTCACTCAATCCTTTTGCTTTTTTAGGCACTACCAATTCCTTAGTGTGCACGCAGAAAAACGCAAGATTCGAACCAACTACATCTAGAAGGGGGTGATTATGTAAAAATGCGGAATTATCAATCTAATTAACTAGCAACATGTCACAAGTTAATTATGTTTAGGTGATTAGTCAAACAATCCAATTTAGCCTATCTGAATANACAGTTGACGACACAATTTTGCAGCAGACCCAAGCGAAGAAATCAATTTAGTGTTTGATTTGATGGCTTTGATGCTTTCTCTAAAAGAAGCACACATGAATTGAAGGATTGAAGTTTTGATCTATGTAGGATGTATTCTCTATGGAATAGAATGTGTTCAATGTTCTTCTCGTAGGAAGTGGCGCCTCAATATATAGGTTGGACGAAATAGATTGCATGAGCCAAGTAAAAGTCTCAAAAATAGAAAATTAGGTCGGCTGAATAATACGTCGCTCGAGCGACAATGTTGCTTCGCTCGAGAGAAAGGTTTGTCATTCGAGCAACAGTGGGGCGATGGTCGAGCGAGGCAATCTCTGTTTCAGTCGCTCGAGCATCACTCCGGTGAGCAGCTAGCGAAAAATCGGCGTGAATCCTTCTTGTTCCAAACATGAAACCTCAAACTTTAAGTTAACCTACCAACTATGAAATTTTACAATTTAGTCCCTAAACTTAAATAATTGTTCAAGTTGGTCAATTTATTCACAGAATCGCCAATACAAAATATAAACATAACACACGCAATTTTGGATTCCTTGAGATTGATCTAAAAAATTATTAAAACCATACTATTAACAGATCTTCGATCACGTTGTTGCTAACTTGAACATTTCTTGCATGAACGTTCATTATCGCCAAGAGAACTTGCAAATGAAAGCATAAAAAAGCGATGACCGTTAGTAACCTGAGGGGTCAAATCATCTGTTGGTGCCCAAGTACAAGTTGTATATGGAGGAATTAGGTGTGAGAGAGACAAACAAGTGGAGATTTGATCGGTGTTTTGATTTTCATAATTATGAGTGTATTTCTTTGCAAGAAATAGGAAGTCTATGGATTTAAGATGCCAATCAACAATAAAAAAATATTGCAGCAATAAAAATGGAAGATCCGATTTTGAAACTGAGGAATGATTTCTTAGAATGGATTTTTTTAGAATAATGGAAAGTTGACGGTTCTGGTCCTTAGTTGAGGAATTTTCAGGTTGTTCTCCTTATTTTGTGGAGTTAAACTGTGCAGAGATAAAAATTGCGAAAAATGTTATAAACCTTATTGAGCTCTATTTTAACGAGGTTTTGGGAATAATACATTTTGGAATAGTACTTATTTTGATAATGTATGGTAAAAAGAAAAAAGAAAAATTTTGGATTCACAAGTAATATTGTTTGGGCAACTTACAAAAATACTCCTAAAATTAGGAATCTTTTGAAAAGTCGTATGAAAAGTGTTTTGAAAGTAAGAAATACCGTGTAAAATTAAGTGTCACTTTTTAATAAAAAAATTGTGGCACAATGTCACTTATTTATTTTATAAAAAAGTGAATCAATATCACTTTTTAAAGTTAAGTGTCATTTTATTATTAAAAAAATGAATGACGCTTTTATTAAGAAATGATGCTTGTCACTTGAAGGAATTGTGGAATTTCAAAAAATTGACAAACATTAAAAAGTAACAGAAATTTTAAAAAAAGTTACAAACACTCAAAAAAAAGTGACACAAATTCAAAAAAGTGATAAACGCTAAAAAATGATAAATTTTTTTGTAAAAAAAATTGACAAAACACCAATAAAAACATTAGAATCGGTTCAATAAAATGATAGGAAAAAAAGTGACAACCATCATCCCTCATCTTTCTCAATTCATCGCCAAACATCTTTGAGTCATTTTACCGATAAAACACAAATCAAAATGCTAAACATCTTTAAATTAATTTATTGTCACTGTCATCTACCAACTTAGCCAACTCATTAATCATATAAAAAGTTTTTAGAAAGAAAAAAAATATTGTATGAAGTTAAGTGTCACTTTTTTATTACAATGTTACTTATTAAAAAGTTACGTCTGTCACTCAAAAAATTGACAAATAATTTTAAAAAATTACTAAAAAAAAGTAAATACACTATTCAAAAAAATGACAAAAAATGAAGAACATCAATCAAAACCTTATAATAGATTCAGGGTATTTGATTTTCTTCTGCACATTGTCTATTTGTGATTATGTCTCACTTCAATTAATTAAAGATAGTATAACTTCATTTAAAGAACACAATACCCAATAAGTTGAGAGCGACAAAATTGAAATAAAAAAAGGTGACAACCACTAAATCTTAAAATAGATATAATGAATGATTGATTTTCTTCTATATGTTGTCACTTTGTGATTATACTAAACTTATATTAACTAAACGTAGAATATAACTTCATTTTAAGAACACAATAAACTATAAATTGGAAATGCCAAAAATTTTACAAAGTGAGAATTTTTTTATTTTTTTTAAATAGACTTCCTGATTAGATTATTCTTCGAAAGAGCACACAACACACGTTGTGTTCGAAACTCATCAAGGATGACCTTCTTAGCGAACAAAAGGAGCATCGACATATTGGTCACTACAATAGAGTCCTTGATGCTACGTAAAACTTTATCTCTTCAACATCACCAACTATAAAATTAAGATATTTTGAGCCATCATCAAGTAGCTATTTATTTATTTTATAAGTCTAATAATGTCTTCACCTCCAAAACTTCAATTGTTTTTGTATTTAATCTAATATCAAGCCACGAATATCTGTTATAAAGTCTTAATTTGCTTTTCTTTGCTACAATAAGTAAATATGATCCCTCCAATTTATGTTGGCCAACAAGCTGGGAAATCACATTCAGAAGATTAAAAATCCAACCTTCGAAGTACAAAATCGAGAATAATTTCAAATAATGAGAAGGAACAAAGACGGTGTTGTTGGGAAAATTGGTTTCTATTAGTTGGTTTGACCAACTTTTAACCAATTATTTTAGTGGGTCCCGTTAGTTGGAGAGGAGACGGCAAAGACGAATGAGACAACGGGGATGAAGATTTGAGTCCGGTGAAGTTTCTTGGAAATGAAATTTCTGTTGTCGAGGAGCAGGGAGGGTCTCTATGTTGCGAAGTGGGGGAAGGTTTATGGCAACATTATGAAAACATTGGAGAAAAAGAGTTTATAAGAAAACCATAGATTTCATGGGCTATATATATTAATACATCTTCCTTGAGAAGCACACCAAGAAGCAAAATAAAGAAAGAGTTCATAAAGATTTAAAACATTTTAGAGGAGCAAAAATGATTTCCAGCAGCAGCAGTGCAACACGATCTGGCAAGAACAGAAATGTTTTTCCCAAAGTAAAGGAGTATGTTTCGACAAGAACGGGAAAGAAAATGGCTGAGGCTGGGAAGAAAGTTGTAGAATCGAAAGTAGGTGCTGTCAAGAAGCACAACGAGAAAGACGAGGGTTACTGACTTAGGTGTGATTCCAATTTCACCTACAATTCAACAAATCAAACTTGTAAGTTAAGGAATTAAACAATAAATGGAAATCAAACTAAGAAACTAAAAAATGAAGAACAGTAGAACGACAAATTCCCCTTTTATTAGGCTCAAAAAATCCGATCCACCACCACAAAGGCAACACCAAATCTAGAGAAAATTCGTAGGGCACACCAAGGCATGAAGAACAGGAGCAGATTTCAGGAATAGCACAAAACATGAATGATTTTTGGTGTTGCCTTTGTGGTGGTGGATCGGATTTTTTGAGCCTAATAAAATGGGAATTCGTCATTCTACTGTTCTTCATTTTTTAGTTTCTTAGTTTGATTTCCATTTATTCTTTAATTCCTTAACTTGTTTGATTTGTTCAATTGTGGGTGAAATTGGAATCACAAATTGGTATCACAGCCCAGGGTCCAAAAACTTAGCCGGAGGAACGCAGTAGAAAGCGTGGTGGAGGTCCCCTCTAATTAACCATTTAGGGTGAATGAGAAATTAAAACCAAAAGATGACCACTTGAAATTGAAATAAAAATTGGTGGGATATTGAAATATGTCAATTCCACAAAGGAAAGCTAGATGAGTATAAACCACTTTATATTACTCAAATTTGAGAATTGAGTTTGGACCCCAAGGAATACCAATAGTCTTTGAAGGGAAGATAACCTACATGCTAGTAGGTTGCGCCAAAGCACGCGCACGCGTCGCCTCCGTCCGTTCGATCGGCCGGCCGGCCCGGCCCGGCATGGGTCTTGGGCTTGACTATTTTTTGGTAAAATAATATTTGAATTATATTATTTTATTATTAAATAATAATAATATATTTATTTATATTATTTTTCCCTGATTTTTCTGTGTGTGGCACGTGAATTCTTCTAGAAGATGGCGGTTGATAGTTGACAGTTAAACCTGCATGTCCAAACAGTTTGTGTCCGTTGAAAACAAAACTTTTAGATTGTTGTGTCTTTTGGATCACAACCTTTCAACTTCTATAAATAGGTCCTCATACCTCGATTTTCATTCACTCCAAAATTAATTCTGATTTTATTATTTTTTTTCAAAATTATTCATTCGTCTCTGAATTATTCATATTTTGCAATTTAGTATCGAAAGTTATTTTCGTACATTTTAATTCTCCATTTTTTAGAGAGATTAAAGCAAGAGTAGGTTCGTCGGGTCATGTAATTTGGAATGCTACTATTACAAGTTGAGGTCGCTGTATCTTGGGAGAAGAGTACCGGGATACTGTTGCACAAGTGTGAGGCATTATCGTCTTAACAAAAAAGAATCGATTTCTTACCTCAACCATTGATATTTTATATCGTTCATTTTTGCAAGTCGTTATTCTGCCCAAATCAATTCATGCTAATATCATTACTTGTCAACAAGTATTTCAACAATTTCAAGCTAGTATAATCAAAGCCAAATACTAATAACAGTTTAATTCCATACTATTCAGATCACTAAAATAATTACATTAAAAACAAAGAAATACCTAAAATTTACCGAAATAAACTTATTTCCCCTAAGCAATCCATTGTTCAATATTCGATACAATAAACAATGAAACATAAAAAACCAAGCAAATATTAGTTACACATTACCCTAAAAAAAATAACTCCATAAAAATGGCGATACCATATCAAATACATTGTTGAGACTTGAGATTGGAGAGGAGAAGGCAAAGACGAATGAGACGACGGAGATGAAGATTTGAGTCCGGTGAAGTTTCTTGGAAATGAAATTTCTGTTGTCGAGGAGTGGGGGAGGGTTTCTATGTTGCGGAGTGGGGGAAGGTTTATGGCAACATTATGAAAACATTGGAGAAAAAGAGTTTATAAGAAAACCATAGATTTCATGGGCTATATATATTAATACATCTTTCTTGAGAAGCACACCAACAAGCAAAAGAAAGAAAGAGTTCATAAAGATTTAAAACATTTTAGGGGAGCAAAAATGATTTCCCAGCAGAAGTGCAACACGATCTGGCAAGAACAGAAATGTTTTTCCCAAAGTAAAGGAGTATGTTTCGACAGTAACGGGAAAGAAAATGGCAAACTAAGAAACTAAAAAATGACGAACAGTAGAACGACAAATTCCCCTTTTATTAGGCTCAAAAAATCCGATCCACCACCACAAAGGCAACACCAAATCTAGAGAAAATTCGAAGGGCACACCAAGGCATGAAGAACAGGAGCAGATTTCAGGAATAGCACAAAGCATTACTGATTTTTGGTGTTGCCTTTGTGGTGGTGGATCAGATTTTTTGAGCCTAATAAAAGGAGAATTCGTCATTCTACTATTCTTCATTTTTTAGTTTCTTAGTTTGATTTCCATTTATTGTTTAATTCCTTAACTTGTTTGATTTGTTCAATTGTAAATGAAATTGGAATCACAAATTGGTATCATAGCCCAGGGTCCAAAAACTTAGCCGGAGGAACGCAGTAGAAAGCATGGTGGAGGTCCCCTCTAATTAACCTTGCTTTTGGCTATAAATCATCAGCGTTTGAGTGCCTTATGTCGAAAGTTTTCTTGACATAAAAATATGGTGGTCAGGCGGCGGATCTCGTTTGGTCGAGGGCGACAACAATAATGACGGTACAAGATGATTGGTTGATAGATTATCGTTTTAGGGGAGGCCACAATGGTGTGGTCCTTCGTTTGAGGGGATGATTGTTGAGAGTAAAAGAAGTCTCATATCGGCTAAACATAAGAAATATGATGGGTTTATAAGGGTAGGACGATACTCCATTGGTATGAGGTTTTTTAGGTAGTATCCAAAAGCAAACTCTGAGGCTCAGGCCCAAAGCGAACAATATCATACAAATGTGGAGTTTGACGGGTCCTAACATTAGGTTTGGAATTTCAGTCAATAGCTCAAGACGTATTAATTACTTGTTTAAAATATTTAATTAGTTTTAAAATGTATTAATCAAATTAGTCATTTTTATAGGTACATGACCTAATTTTTTCATATTATTTTATTGAAAATTGTGTGGTTAAAAAAAGAAAAAAATGTAATAAAATTAAAATGGAGCCCAAAAGGAGGCATATAATTCTAAGTGAGAATTTTATTAGCAAGACATTAAGTATGACCAATTTCAAATAAAAAAAATAAGGTTTACCTTTTCAAAATTAAATATTAACTAAAATTTTATTTATTAAATAATTAATTAAAAAATATTTTATTAATTTAATATATTGGTGTCACAATATTACATAAATTATGGTATTAGTCATGATTTTAGTCGCCATAGTTACAAACAACAAATTTTATAAGTCGCAATTTATTTCTTGATCACAAAATAAATAAATTAATCGGTTACGTATTATTATTATTATTTTTTTTTTTGTTGCAAATCACACATTTTATGATTCACAACTTATTTCATAATCACAAAATATCAAATTAATTGATCATAAATTATTTGTCATATATCATCAAATTAATTGATCATAAATTATTTTTTGAATACAAATATAAAAAATTATAAGTCACAAATCACAAATTTTATAGGTCACAAATTAATTTAGAGTTTGCAAATCACAAATTTTATTTGTCACAACTTATTTCATCATCACTAATTATCAAATTAATTGGTCACAATTTATCAAAATTTAAGTCACAACTACAAATTTAATCACAATTACACAATCTTCTAGATTACATATTATTTATTGGTCATAAATTAACAATTTATTGGTCACAACATCCAAATAATTAGTCACAAACACTATTCTCACCTCACCCCACAACCACCACCACCACCACCACCACCTTCATATCATTGCCCACCAACAATAACCAAAAACCACGCACCTCACATCACAAGACAACTTGCAACCAACAGAAGCACCACTGCCTACACCATAGTCGCCTACACCACTTGCTCCACCACCAATATCACTTGAGATTGCTGCACATCATATAACCACCACACATAGATCATAATACACCACCACCACCACCATCACTATCACCAATATCACCATTTGCAAACCGCCAACAAAAACCACCAAAAATTTTGATCGGCTGGATTGACTAGAAACCACCCCCAAAAACTATCATATATTGTCCCGCCTTTCGTCGGCCAAATCGACTACGCCTACAACAGGAATAAGGGACTCGAAAACAACAAGTCTCGGTACACTCCTGCGCCGAACAAATCACATCGAGCCTACACAACGACATGAAGGGCGCTTCGCAGCAGCGCTGAGCACCATTGTGAAGCGCCTCAAAATGTTGCTTGTGCACTGTGAAGGACGTTCATAGCGGCAAGCGTCGCTCTCTCCAGCAAAGCAAAGCGATGCTGTGCTCGACTTCGCCGACTTTCATTGCATTCAAATCAAACATTAAATGTTCATCAAAATGTGCTATTAAGAGTAATTTGGATATTTTGTATCAAAAAAGTGACATTTTTGCTCAAAAAAGTGAAAATGGCATTTTTTTGTTTAGATTTTCAAATTGAGTGACATTTATGAAAATTTCCCTTATTTCATTTGAGTCGACCTAATTTCATCGTGAAGAAATTCCTAAGGAAAGTGAAATGTTACCTTTTTTTTCTTTTGCAAATTCTCCTTGAATTGGTTCGGGAACTCACTATTAATTGGACCTCTAAACATGTTATGATTGCTTCTAATATTAATTTTCGAGAATTCTTTTTCCCCTTAAAATATACTCTACGAATAAAATGTTTTGTGCTCATTGATTTCACACTCGTCGTAGCACCATAATCCTTAATCTTTTTAGTGGATTCGAAACATATTGACACCAATGTCAGTTAAGCGTCGAACCGATCATCAAAACTAAGTATTTTGATCGATTTTTAATAATTAGAGACATTACTTACTATAAAGTTTTCAATCCACATTTTTTTCTTTAAAAAATAATAATTTGTTTATAGGCAACATAAAAGTAATTTGTTTATGTCCAACTTGTGTTTGTAGCTAGTTTTCTTCTTATGGACTAGTTCGCCTAAGTAAGTGTTGGGAGTAAAAGAAGTTTCACATCGGTTAGACATGGGAAATATGATGGGTTTATAAGTGTATGACAATACTCCATTTGTATGAGGTCTTTTGGGGTAAAACCCAAAAGCAAATTCATGAGGGCTTAGGTCCAAAGTGGACAATATCATACCAATATGAATATATGTTTTGGGTAGTATCCAAAAGCAAATTCGCGAGGGTTCAGACCCAAAGCGAACAATATTATACTAATATGGAGTTTGGCAGGTCTCAACAAGTGACATCAGAGTCCAGGGCCCAAAAACTTAGCTGGAGGAACGCATCAGAAAGCGGGGAGGAGGTCCCCCCTAATTAGCCTTGTGTCTAGCTATAAATCATTAGCGTTTGAGGTGTTTTGTGTCGAAAGTCTTCTTGACATAAAAATATGGTGGTCAGGCAGCGGGTCTCATTTGGTCGAGTACGACAACAATAACGGTGGTACAAGATGATTGGCTGATAGATTATCGTTTGGGGGGAGGCCACAATAATGTCGTCCTTCGTTTGAGGGGATGATTGTTGAGAGTAAAAGAAATCTCATATCGGCTAGACATGAGAAATATAATGGGTTTATAAGTGTAAGAAAATACTCCATTGTGAAGCGCCTCAAAATGTTGCTTGCGCGCTGTGAAGGACGTTCATAGCGGCAAGCGTCGCTCTCTCCAGCAAAGCAAAGCGACGCAGTGCTCGACTTCGCCGACTTTCTTCCCTCTTTCGCTGAGCATCATTGTGAAGCGCCTCAAACTGTTGCTTGCGCATTGTGAAGGACGTTCATAGCGACAAGTGTCGTTCTCTCCAGCAAAGCAAAGCGACACTGTGCTCGACTTCGCCGACTTTCATCCCTGCTCGACAGGTAGGTCTTGTAGTCAAGCTCCCTTCTGTCTTTGCACTCGAGGGCCAATCTCCGTGCAGGATAGAGCGACGCCGCTTGGTGGTGGTTTGGTAGCCGGAGGGGGAATAGAGAGGATATGATAGAAAAAGAAGGGAGAGAAAAATGATGGAAATGATTTAGGGTTTGGGGGTCGTTTGCAGATTTATTTTATAATATTAAAGAATAGAAATATTAAATAATTAATTATATTCTGAATTTTGAATAAAAAACTTGTAAATTTTATTTTTGAATTGTGAAATTGAAATATCTTAGTAGATGTAATTTTCACTAATTCTAGTCCAATAGTGTTTTTTTTCCAGTGGATAGTAGGGATTGGCAGAGGCGTAATTTTTACTTCTTAAGAAAATTCGGGCCAATAGGCCCATTTGCTAACTCATTGGTCCGTTTCTTGACTTTATTCTTCCGCGTAAATATCGCCCACTTAAAATAAAAAATTAAGAAAATAAATATTCCAGCGCTACGAACTTTCCAAATATGAGCCGCCATTGACACGCCAAAAAACCTTTGTCATACCAGTAAATCTTTTCAAGAATCTCTTCAACATTTTACTCCCTAGGGTTTTAGATTTTAATACACAATTTCCCGCAGACCTAATTTACAATTATCACTGATTACTAATTTTAATATATTAGAGCACAAGAAATTGCTTGAAGTTTTGGGGAAAATGGTGGGGAAGAACGAGAATGACAGTGGCAGTGAGAATCCCTTAGATTTGTTTTTGAAAATTGGATTAGATGAAAAGACTGCGAAAAACACCTTAGCTAACAACAAGGTCACTGCTAATCTCACCGCCATCATTCATGAGGTATTATATGTTCTTTTTTTGTGTGCGTTATTGTTATTGCACATTGGGTTTTGTTATTGCATGTTGATTCTTTTGTCTAGTCTGAGAGTTGCAGCTTTCAACTTGGCATCTGGTAAAATAGAAAAAAAAAAATGAATTGAAACTATATGTATAATTTTGTTTAATTAGGTCCAGACAGTGTAGAAGTTTTGGCATAAACTATGCAAATATATGTACTATTACCATATGCCTATCTATCAATTGTTTTTGCATTTTTTGTTATTTGACTTAGAAATTGTACAATTTTGTGAAGGGTTGCTAGGAAAGTTTACTGTTTCACTCAGGGGGCTTAAAGGGCGTGGCCTTTCTGAAAATGAAATTCCAGGAAGGAAATATATTTTTTAATTTTTGTGCAAATAACTCAACAACGAGCATATTTATATTAATTATAGTGCACTTGTGTACTAACTAATTGGCTCAACATAAATTTGAGAGCTTTTGGTTTCTGAACGAGACATGAGATAGAATTTAACTTAACGATAACGAAAGAAGCTTTGGGAAAAGGATATGCAGAAGCGTGCATGCATGATATCAGTAGGGGATTATCTGACTCAGAAATTTTAATATGCCTGTATCTTATTAGATGGAGATTATTTCATGAAAATAGAAAAGAGAAAAAGAATGAAATACTGAGAGAAATTGAATCTGCTGGTTTTCATTTTCTTTCTTTCTTTGTATTTTTTTTTGGACAAAACATTATTTCATTTTGATGTAATTTATCAAATAATGTTGTCTCTTGGCTCTTTAATTCCTATTAAAGATGCTCGTGTATCTGTTATATTTGAATTAGGTACTTACATAAGTTATTTTAATAATGCATTTCAGGCAGCTGTAACTGATGGTTGTGATCGGACAGTCGGAAATCTTCTTTACATGGTAAGCTTGTATTTATTGTTAAACTTGGATTCTTCAGGTGTCGCAGTTCCTTGATGTTAACTTTTTTAGTTTCCTGTTTCCCTTTGTTGCTGTCCTATAAGGGGAGCTCGAGGCTCTATTTATCTTTCATATCTTGATGCTTAAAATAGTTATAGCACATCACAAGAAGCACTTACCCTGAATATGGACTCTATTATTCATGTTGCATCATTGAGTTTTTTTAATGAACCTAAGGAATACCCTTTCACATCTTTGGGAAGAATTTAATCTTAATTTTAACTTGGTCCTTTGTTTTTGTGTTATAAGGTCTCTCAAATGAAAAACATAACTCATTTTCTTGGCAGGCCGCAACGAAATTCCCCTCAAATGCACTTGTACATCGACCTGCCTTGCTTAAATATGTTATTTCGTTAAAGGTACGAGGCTCAGTTTCTCTGCATTGCATGCTGATTATCACCTTCTCCAGTGTGTTTTTACTAAGTAGCTAGACATTCCCAGCCACCTGCCAATCGAAAATTTTCTTAGTGACATTATGTGAGCATTTTACATTTACAGATTAAAACTCCTGCTCAGTTGGAAGCCGCCTTCTCATTTCTTGATGCCACTGCTTCTGACAACTTGAAAGTCAATGATTTTGAAGCTGCTTGTGGTGTTGGTATGAGATATGATTCTTGCCTATGTTTGTTACTAACCCTTCGGTTTTTATACTTGAGAATTTGGATGCAGCTCTTATCGATAGACTTTTAATCATTAATCATTTTCTGTTATATAGTGATCTTCTACGTTGATAATACTGAAGTAGTGAGTAATGCAACTGCAATATTTTTTACTTATTCATCTACAACATGAATGTTTTGAGATTGCTTCATTTCTAGCTCTTTTAACTGTCTGTTTTCTGATATTTTTTTTCTAAATAAATTTTGGCATTTCAAATTTTTTCTTAACAAAATAAAATTCTGAAAAATGATCTTTTGTGTATATATAGGTGTTGAAGTTTCTAAAGAAGATATTGAAAGCGCAGTTAATGAGATTTTTGAGGAAAACGAAGCTGTTATTTTGGAGCAGCGTTATCGAACAAATGGTTGGTATTACCTTTTCATAGTCTCCACGAAGAGGGAATCAAAGTTTTTTTTTTAATAATGTTTTATTGGAAATAGAAATAAAGCAGGATTGTTATTTACCTAAGCTGAATAATTGATTGGAAATATGAATCAAAACTATTAAATTTATGTAAAGATAGAATGCTGGGGTTTCTATGATATATTTCTTAAAAAATTGGAGTTGATATTAATTTGAAATGATACAACATAATGTTGCTTTAAGTACAAATTCTTTTAAGGACCCTCTTACAGAGAAAGGGGGAAAAGTGACAATCTTGATCTCTAATCGACTTAAAGTTTATGAAGAGGGGAGGCACTTTATTTAGAACTTAGCGTATGGATTTAGGAATACATGTCATTTCCTATTGATTATAAGTCTGCCAAATAGAACCAAAGTTATCTTTTGTTTTACTTTCTCATTTTGTGATTTACTTGATTTCTTACTAGTTCTTTCTAATTCTCTTTTTCCTCCAGCCTCGTTCTTTTACTGATAAATGGTTTTTGTAATGCCTTAGGCCCTTAGCTGCAACCCTGTAATATTTCATTAGCAAAGTACAATTTAATGATGAAATTCTGCCACGCAGCTGTATTAAAGATCTTGATTTACTCTTCAACCCACCACGCAGAAATGTAGAACTAACTAAAGGTAGAACAGATAAGGATATTTTTATACCAGGGATACTACTTAACGTACCCAATGCTCCCATAAAGCAGTCCCAATACTGTAGGTAAATCGTGGATTTATGAGGTTCCGTATGTGAATTGGTGGTTGGAGGTTTTGAAAATGATGATCTACTCTATCAAATTTCTTAATTGAACTTTGCCTGTGATTTTTTTACGTCCTTCTCTCTCTCTCTCTCTAATGATGACCAGTCGTTTTGATCTTATTGTGCATGCAGTTGGTGAATTATTTGGTTATGTTCGAAAGAAGCAGCCGTGGGCTGATCCGAAGATTGTCAAGGTAATTGTGGACAGCTGCTTTGTCTTTTCTTCCCAAACTCTCACATAAAGAATCTGAATCATTCATAAGTAAACTAGAAGTTTCTCTTTTGTTATTATAATGCTTTTTTGCTTACGTTGTTACTTGTTGGCATCAGCAACTCATTGATGCAAAGTTATATGCTCTGCTTGGTGAAAGAACTGCCGCAGACAACGAAAAGCCTGTGAAAAAGAAGAAAGAGAAGGCTGTTAAAGTTGAGGTCAGTATAGTTGTTCTATTTGAAGGTTTTTTTGGGTTTCATATTTGAATATATGTAGTCAACTGATTTCTGAAATTTTGGAGTGGTAGTAGATCCTATACCTAATATGTTGTTCGTGGAGGTTCTTCTGGACTTGTAATTCTAATTTGTTTGGTGTTTCATCTTATTGACATTTATATCCAGATATTGCCAGATCCAAATGGTTCATCCGCCCTATTGGTGCCTTATTATCTATATGAATGAAACAGTCTGGGGATCTATGAATGGCACTCTGTTTCTTTTGCTGTCTTATGTTTCTATTTATGCAGGACAAAGCAACTGTTGAAGAGACAGTGGAACCATCTGAAGAAGAAACTAATCCATTTTTAATATTTCCTTCACCAGAGGAAAACTTTAAGGTACCAAACTGCTATGCTGCACCCTTTGTTGTACGAGTGGCTACTTTTATTTATACAAGTTCTTCTTGTGACTTGTTTTGCTATTTGAACAAACCAATAATTTGATGTTGCGTCACATGAGACTAACTAATATCATCAGGATGATCAGCGCTTGTATATCATTTTAATTGGTTTTCCCCAAGTAATGTCTAACATGAATGCAATGTTCTATATAGCAACCAGGAGATTCTCATTTTTTGTTCTATTTTCTGGGCTTTTAGTGTTGTTAGCATTTTCGCAACGAGTTCATTACTTTTAGATGCGATTTCAGGATTCTTGTTATTTTGTGTGCTAGCCACTTCTTTTAGGTTATATTTGTCCATGTAAAGAAGCTTCACATCTTATGCTTGTCATATCTAGACCAATGAAAAGTTAAAACATTTTAGCATATTTGTTCTTTTGCCATTACATTTTCTCAGCCACACAAAGAAAGCATTCAACTTCTTATACAGTCGACCACCTGATGGCTTGCTGCTATTTAATACTCACCCGTGTGGTTATTAACTTTCTTGCTAACTTCTAGGTACATACTGAAATATATTTCAGCGATCGTCCTGTGCTTAGAGCTTGCAATTCAAAGGAAGTACTTGAAAAACATTTGAAGGTGACTGGTGGAAAAGTTTTTACACGCTTTCCACCCGAACCTAATGGATATTTGCATATAGGTCATGCCAAGGTGATCATATTTTCTAGACAAATTGCTGATATCATGTATTATTTTGAATTTATCTTACTCTTTATCTTGTACCAATTGAATAGGCCATGTTTGTGGATTTTGGCCTTGCAAAAGAAAGGGGTGGATGCTGCTATCTAAGGTCAGAATTGTTTCCTTACTGCTTTGTTTTTTTAACATAATAATTTTCTGGCTTGTATGTATTTTTGTCGAGTTGTCATTATTTGTCAAACTCTATCATGATGAAGCCTACGTATAGTTTTAATACAACTGGTTTGGGTCCTCTTTTTCTTCTTTGTAACTTGTAAGGGAACTGATGAAATTCACTGCACTGAATAGCGGTGCTCTTCTTCAAAATCAGCTGATTGAGATTATCATTGATGCCTCTTCTCATATAGCCCATACAAAGACCTTTACGTGTAAACTTCAGTCTCGCAGATTTGAAGTTAAGTCTCTGTCAGCCCAGCTCAAGACTGGCCCAGTCATTTACTAATTGTCTTGTTGGACCTGGTTTTTTAGATTTGTTTGTTCTTAGTTGTTACTATTCTAGGCACCTGTCGCCATTAGTGGCTGTGGATGTTAGTGGTGATTAGTGATGAGATATTATACTGATCTATCTTTTAATTATAAAATGCAAAGTGTCGGTCATCAAAGCACTCAAAACATTTGCTTCCCTTTCTCCTCAAATTTGAAGACTCTTCCACATGATAAAATGTAGTTGCTTTCTCATGTGAGAAGCTTCATACTGAAGGAACTCCGAACTTAATTAGTTTCTCAAAACTCATTCCCAGTCCCCGCCCCCCCCAATTCACAAAATGCAATGCATGAGTCTACCATCATGCTTGTTACTGCCCACTGGTGTGCTTGCCATGGACAGTGTCACTAGGACAACAAGTGACCAGGGGCTGCACACCAGCGTCTCAAACTGCATGCTTAGTCTTGGTATTCCTTTTGAAGACTTTGTTTGGCATTGACCTAATCTATAATTTATATTTTTTAAGCTTGTAATGTTTTATTTGTGAAAGACATAATCTATCAAAATTAGATAGAGTAATCACAGTGGGGTGAAGGGAAGTTATCTATGTTTGTTTGAAATGATGAAATTTGGTAAATAAGAATCATTGATATGTCTTGTAAATAAGTCGGAAATTGATATGAAAATGAAGGTAAGTGTAGATCTTTTTCTTCAAAACCATTGTGTGATTATTCTACAATATCTGAACTTAATTCTTTCTAGTGTTAATTTGATTAAGTATTCTTATATAGCCAAGACTTGAAAAACTTCAGAAGTCTGTTTCCTATTTGGTCACCCATTTTGAATGGACAAAGTATGAAGATTTCCCCTTATCATCTAAATAACATTTGTCTTGTAGGTATGATGATACCAACCCAGAAGCTGAAAAGAAAGAATATATTGATCATATTGAAGAAATTGTGAGATGGATGGGGTGGGAACCTTTCAAGGTTAGTTTTCTATTAATACGTTTGACGGTTTCTTGTCTGGGCTATATCTAATATACATTAAAATGTCACAGATCACTTACACCAGTGATTATTTTCAAGAACTCTATGAATTAGCAGTGGAGCTGATACGGAGAGGCCATGCTTATGTTGATCACCAGGTCATTTTCCTTATCTTCGTCCTTATTGATGATCTCCATCATCTGCTTCTCTATTTTCACCATTCTTTTTACACTGAATTACTGTTGACCTGACCTTTTCACAAGTTCTGATAGGACCTATTTACTTCTGATATAAAATATTGTTATAGTGAGTGCACACTATTTTGTATTGCTTAGCAGCGACAACATAAAATTCGTGCGTGCAGTTAGTTGTTATTTTGTCCACGAATGGCATTCAATTACGACTAAGTATGCCTTTGGTACTTAGTACAGACACCTGAAGAGATAAAAGAGTACAGAGAGAAGAAGATGAACAGTCCTTGGAGAGATAGACCAATCGAAGAATCACTAAAATTGTTTGACGATATGAAGCGGGGAGTGATTGATGAAGGCAAGGCAACATTAAGAATGAAACAGGACATGCAGAGTAATAACTTCAATATGTATGACCTTATTGCTTACCGTATCAAGGTATGTGCTCCAACTCAAAAAGTTACTGACTTTGAAACACAAAAGAGTTGCTCACAAACTAGTTTTACTTTCCATTTTTCAGTTTACTCCTCATCCACACGCAGGAGATAAATGGTGCATCTACCCAAGCTATGATTACTCACATTGCATTGTAGATTCTCTTGAAAACATAACTCATTCGGTAAGTCAATATGCTTTGTTACTTACAAATCATTAACATTATCTTCTAATTAGAAGCATCTCTTAGTCAAATTTATCCATTTTTAGTTAAAAATATTAAAGAACTCGATGCTTACTCTCATGTTTACAAACACGTGCATAAACACATTCATGGAGTGTTTTTCCTTGCACCTCTGCTTTTCTGTGCATAAAATTTGATTTAAAAAGATATCGTTCCAGTTTATTCTACTTTAATATCTTTGTCCTTCACAAAATTTTTGGCCAAGCTTCCGAAACACTCCTATAGAGAAGATCCTCTTGATAAAAATAACCTCTTACATGTATGCTGATTGACAGATGATTGATATGATCTGCACTAAGCAATCTGATCACAATTATTCAAAACTAACAAGGATGTGAGAATGAAGTGGTAAAATTTCTTTGCAGACTATGTTTTAGTGTTCTTGGACATCTATCCTGTGTTTTTTTTTTTTTTCCTTTTTTCCATTTTCTCCACCGTGGCGGTTTTTTGGTAGAAGAACAGTGGTTGAGTTTGTTGCCTGGTTGAAGAAACTTGCTTATGAAAGAGTCATGTTATCATAGATTTTCAACCTCTTAGAGACTTCTTTCATGTATTGGTTGGGGACCTGTATCTATGAAAACGAGCTTGTCAACAACCCCCTTTATAATTTTCTTCATTCATCATGACAAGTACTTGTGAAAAGTAAAGATGCTTGAGTTTTATACTTTCGTGCCTTTTCATAAATGGAATTTAATTGTTCTATGAAGCTGTGTACGCTCGAATTTGAAACACGACGAGCTTCATACTACTGGTTACTGGATGTACTTGGCCTTTATCAACCTTATGTATGGGAGTACTCCCGATTGAATGTCACCAATACGGTGATGTCTAAGCGTAAGGTAAGTTGAAGGTTTGTATGTTGACATTGATTATAATGCTTAGTTGGTTTGAATTATATATACTTGTCCTTTGAACTTATACTTGAGAAGTGTTATTGCAGTTAAATCGTCTTGTAACAGAAAAATGGGTTGATGGTTGGGATGATCCCCGTCTCATGACACTTTCTGGACTGCGACGTAGAGGGGTAACTGCAACTTCCATAAATTCTTTTGTCCGAGGAATTGGAATTACCAGAAGGTTGAGTTTCTTTTATAAATTTCTCTCTATTGTGCTTCCTGTTATGCTTTGCTCTCTGACGTTTGCATTAATTCCCTGTGTCACAGTGATGGTAGTCTGATACGTTTGGATCGCCTAGAGTACCACATAAGGGAAGAACTGAATAGAACAGCACCTCGCACAATGGTTGTACTAAATCCACTTAAGGTTTGTATCTTGCCTAATATATACGCATCTCAGAGTAATGTATGTATCGAATATCACCCACGCAGATAAATATGTATGTAAGAATGCTTGGGAACTTTTGTATCAACGCTGCCTGCATATCAGGTTGTCATTACAAACATGGAAGCTAGCTCTGTAACTTACAGTGATGCAAAGAAGTGGCCTGATGCTCCAGTGAATGATGCATCTTCTTTTTACAAGGTGAACAATACTTTTGTGATGTATTTGATCAATTTAAACTTTTGTATTATTAGACTTGTTTCCTAAAATGCATTATTCTTTTATATGAATGAGTTGCTCCATTACCATGCTGAGTTCTTAATCATTTTTTTTGTCTAATGCTAGTTTTCTTATTTCATTAAGATGACATTGCCATCATGTCATTATATGTTTACTTCACCCTTTTTTTCCCTGCTCTTGCAACAGGTCCCCTTTTCCAAGGTTCTGTACATTGAACATTCTGATTTTCGATTGAAAGACTCTAAAGATTACTATGGGCTTGCTCCTGGAAAATCTGTCCTCCTCAGGTACCTATTATTTGAAGTTCCTTCGGCGATTAAGATTTATACATAACATCTACACATCTTTTCTTCCTAAATACAGGTATGCATTTCCTATTAAGTGCACAGAAGTAATTCTTGGTGATGATAATGAGACCGTTCTTGAAATTCGGGCTGAGTACGACCCTTTGAAGAAAACCAAGCCAAAGGTACTCATGTTAACATTAATTGATAATTTCGAATGGTTCTTCCAGATTCTGAAACTGTTTGCATACATTATATTCTTTTCTGCAGGGGGTTTTGCACTGGGTTGCAGAATCTGCTCCCGGGGTTGATCCACTTAAGATTAAAGTCAGATTGTTCGACAAACTCTTTATTTCTGAGGTTCGGAATCTTTCCTTGTGATATTTTCTTGCAGTCTTCAGCACAGTCTCTTTCTTGCGTTGAATATGCCGTTGACACTGACCAGTTTGTTATTGCGTACAGAATCCTGCTGAACTTGATGGTTGGCTTGGTGATTTGAACCCGGAATCTAAAGTAGTCATATCGGAGGCATATGCTGTACCGTCACTTAGAGATGCTACGATTGGAGACAGATTTCAGTTTGAAAGGCTTGGTACATTCCTCCAACTTTCAGCTCTTTAATACTATGCTTCCATTCAACTTTATACAACTTCTGCCAGTTTTTCTAATGGCTATGCTCATTAATTTTTAATTCTCTTTGATAGTTACCATCCGTACGCAAAAATGGCCTTGTATTTTCCTTTCTTTATTACTTCTATTTCATTTAGATTTAATAAACATATATTATAACATTATTTTAAATTTCAATTCTGTTGTGTCTCCAATTGTATGCCTTGGCACATATATTAACGCCTTGTGCATTAGGAGACAGACTCGTGGGTTTTATTTTGTTTTTGATTTTAACAACTGCAATAATGAATTTCAAATTCTTTGATCAAACAATTTCTAGCAATCATCACACCGTAGAATCATGAAACTAATTGCCTCCATAACTGAATAAAATGACCTAGAACTAGGTAGCCCCTCCATAAAAACCACAAATAGCAATCCTCGCTAGCACCAAACCAACTCCTGAATTGATAACCACTAACTTTGTATGTGCCCGGCTATAATGATTGTTGGCTGAATGTTGGTAGTTCAAAGTTTGGTTTTGGCATTGTTGACATGGGAGGGCATTTATCTTCTCCTTTCTTGTTAGACATGGAAATTCAATCATTTACTTCCAGTTTTAGAACCTCTCCTCATTCCCCTACCACACTTTTCTGCTTAAACCAAATACATGCCCTCGGTGTAGAAAGAGAGAAGAAATAAGAATTTAGCAGATTGTGGTATAATATCACACCATATGTTAAGAGCACCTGCGCTCCAGTTTTAATTAGCAAAAACACAGAAAGCGTACAAGTGTCTTTTAGTGAATAAGGTTGTCTTACCTGCGTAGTGTGCACTTATTTTATGAATTTCTATATGCTGCTTCACTGTAGTTCCATTTTTTCCCTCTGATAATTGAAAGTGTCGTGGTTGCTTAAATTCACATGTAGTCTAATTTCCTGTTTGTTTCTATCTGTTCAAGGCTATTTTGCTGTTGATAAGGATTCAACTCCTGAAAAGCTAGTGTTCAACCGGACTGTCACCTTGCGAGATACTTATGGCAAGGCAGGAAAGTGAAGAGTTGGTTGTTGGAAATGAAGATGGATGGGAGAGTAGCACACAATTAATCAATGGGGTCTATGTACAAATATAGAACATCCATGTACTATGGAGAATCACATGGAAAAACAGGTTTTCATTATATAAACCCAAATGCTCATATTTACTCCTTTTATGTTTGAAGAAAACAATAATCATATTGAATTTCAGATTATTACAACTGCTTGTTTCAGATAATTTTCATGTATATAAATTATCTTTACTGAAAATATGCTTGTCCTTGGCCCTGAATACCTCCAACATGTGGACGGGCTTTCAATTTACATCAACATGCTAAAATTGCCAAAAGAAATTTGGAGGAAAATCACGTCCTGCTTTTATTGTGCAAATCATCCCTGTTATTTCAGTTTCGACATTTGTACCTCCAGATCAACATATTCTACATAAAGGGTCCTTTGCTTTGCTTGTCATATATTTGTTCCGTTGAATAGGGGCTTGCTCTGCTCATGACATGATTTAGAAGGATAAAAATATTAGTTCACTTGACCTTTATATATAAATTTTTAAAAAATAATATAAAATGAAAAAAGAAATCAAATTTTTTTCCAAAAAATGTCTTCTCCGAAGCCTCACAGCCAACCCCATCACCATCACTGCCTCGTCGTCACCACCATCTTTTTTCTGTTATTAAACACCCTCATCTTGCCTCTACCTCAAACTTCTCAATTCTCCACCTCTGCACCATCGCCGTTGCATCGACACCACGGGGAAAGGCAGGGCACTCTCAAATGGGGTGGTGAAAAATACCATCCTCTCCTACACTTAATGGATCGAAAGCTCTACAACTGGCCTTTCCCCATATCCCTCGCCGTATTCACCCTTTTGCTCTTCCTTGGTCTTTATCGTCATCTCGAATTCCCTGCCCTCTTGTGGTGTATACCTCACCTCCGTCGGGTTGGGTGGGGCTTTGGACATGTTTGTGAAATTTTCTTTTCGTTTTTCATTTTGTATATTGTTTTTATTAAAATTAAATGATCGGATTAAGTGCACAACATGCGCCTATCTAACGGAACAAATGGAGGACAGGTGACAAAAAAAGAAAACCTTTTGCATAGGAATATGTTGATCTAATGGCACAAATATCAAAATTGAAACGATACGGACGACAAAGATGACTTGTGCTAATTCCCTAAATTGAAATATATTTATGAGAAAAAAAGCCAATAGAGGGATGATAAGAACTCGTGTCAAACAAGGAAAAGTAATCTAAAGATCCTTTATCGTGGACTTATTTATGCATATGACGTGATGATTCTAAAAAGAATGATTTGATCGAAATTTCAAAGAGGGGACAGTATAATTTGCTTTCAAAAGTTCCATTTTCACACGAAAACTCAGCCTCTTTGGTCACATGCTAATGTGCGACTTCTTCGAGCATAAATTTTGGCTGATTTGATAATGCCAAACCTCAAAATTCCAGCACAACACTGCTGATTTTTCATTGTGTAATATTTTGATTTTTCTCCTTGTGTTTATGGTTTCTTCATTCGTAGTTCGAGAGAAAATATTGGTAAGAATTAATTGGGAAAATTAAATTATGACATTTACATGTTGAATTAATCATAAAGCACAAACCATGTATTTTGATATAGAAATATTTTGGTATTTGATTGGTTGGTTAGTAATTCAAATTCCACATCTTCTTACGTATTTACATTGATCTTCCACTGAACTTCATGTCAATCTATTCCAATGATTCAACAGCCATTATTTATCCTCTTAATTTATATCTGCATTGTACAACTTCGAATCAATATTCCAAGTCAATACTATTCATGATAGGATAATTGATAACTCCAATCCTAGCAAATATGAAATGAAAATCCAATTTGACTTGTCATGGATTTTTTCTGTGAGTGGTTAAATTTTGTTCAAGCTTTTTGACTATTTGGTGCGATATGTTGGAAAAAGAGTAAAATCCCTCTTTTGATGACAGTAGGACTTCATCTGTAGTAGGAGTTGAGCTCTTCCGCTAACTTATTAGCTTTGGTAGTAAGGCTATCTGTTGAATAGTTATATCATCGATTCATGTAACTATATTGACCTTATAAATATTGGTTCTAGTTCTATCTAACTACAAAAACTAACACAATTCCCATGTTAATAGAAAAAGAAAAAAAAAAAAAATTTGACGGTAACAGATGGATTGATGAATGATTGGACAATTAGCATCTCCTCCTTGAAGAGCGTATGTTTAGTACACAATTATCATATGAATGCGACGTTATATTCTGTAATAGTATTCAAGGGTGCTTATTTTAGGTCCTTTTGGCAGCATTGGAATAAGTTTGATTCTCAATTTTCTAATAATACTATGCCATAATGGACTTTCACTCGCTAAAACTGGCATCCATAGAATGGTATACATTACCCCAACCCTCTAAAGAGTATTCCTTTATATTTGACTTTTTCCCCCAACATAGGACGATACCAATGCATGTCGGCAAAAGACAAAACTCCTAGAAATATAATCAGCATATTCTAAGAATTTGCTGCTACCATCCTTTCTTCAAAATGTTCCTAAAGTTAGATGATTAGACCACAATAGAGCTTATGAATCCCTTCAACTTAGTTCTCTTGATTTGACCACCCCCAACCCCCACGAGGTTTAGCTTAGGATGGTGTCAAGGTTTCAGTACAACAATGTCTAAAGTATTGGAAAAAGATTTCATTGTGTATAATCACGTGCCATGCATAAGTTCTTTCACAAGATAGCATATAGATAGATTGATTCGATCATTCAATAGATTTTTAATAGATTCCATGAAATATTGCTGATGGATGTTCACGACACTTTCTTCATTCATTAGATTCCTTTCATCATTAAGTAAAGGGTAATTATATTCACACCACAATTTTTATTTCTTACACCACATTTTAATTAAACTTAAAGTTTTTAATCTTTGCTCATTATAGCGCTTGTGTCCCTAATGATTTTTCATGTTATTCTTGTCCTCAAACTTTCCATTAGTTATCACATTTTGTATTTGATAACAGTTTTATGTCAAAAAATCTATTGAAATAGCGTAGAACAATTTATTTTTTCATCATATTTTTTAAAAAAAATAAATAAATGAAAAGTAAGAAAAAAACATTTGTTCCTTATTTCGAATCATGAAAACAAAATATTTTGATATATATCATCATCAAGGACGAGATATATTAATTAGTGCAAGGTTGAAGATAAGATATCGACGGAAAAAAAAGTTATGAAAACAATTGCTACAATAAGCAAAGATTGGAGAGCTTAACAACAATTAAAATGTGATGTATAAAATAAAAATTATGATAACAATATAACTACCTTTTGCTATATTCCATACAAAAATATAATTTAGTCCCGTTTAACCCCCATTCTCTAAAAACTCTTTTTTTTTTTTGCTCAAACTCATTTTCAATTATACATCCTTCCAATAAAATAATTTTGTACGTAAACATAAATATTTTTTTATCACACATTTTTCAAAAATTCACTATTATAACTCATTTTTAAGAAAAATGGGTCTCAAACACACTCTTAATTAAGATAACAAGAAATTCACGATTTGTTATTAACCATCAAAAGCATACATTAAAATGATTTAAGTATGATGCACCACATTCAAGAAACAAGATCAATTCCATCCATTGATTATTTTGTAAGGCAGGAGCATGCTTGAAATGGGGTAGGCACAACACATTGGGCTCGCGTTAAATTTTCAAGCTAGATTTTGGATGTTATAGGATGGATAATGTCATGAACTGTAGTTTTTGGATAAAGTAGTAGCAATACCCTACATCAATTGGTATTAGAGTTGGAGGTTCCATGTTCAAGACAATATTGGAGCTTCCCCTGGAGTAGATGGATTATACAAGAATACGCCTGGAACAGGGATAGGCGGGCTTGTGGTGAATTCTTGAGCTGATGCATTGCATTAGTGCCATGAGGCATGAGCTATAGTTTGGAACGATTTAATGACAACGCCTACATCATTTTGCCATAATGTTGATCATTGGTACTCTAACTATTTACTTAGTCCAGAATCATACCTAACAAATTAAAACGTCAGAGCCAGACAGACAGACAATATTTGTCATAATCTCAGCTTTCTTAGATAATGAATGTAGAAGAATAATGGTTGTATAAATATTCAACCTCCAGATGCACTTGAGAAGTGTGATGTTGCAAAAAGTTGATAAAAGTTGTCGAGTCCATGAAATGTGCAATGAAAAGGTGGATAAAAGTCGTCAATGAAATATGTAATAAAATTGAACTTTGATAAGCGTTTTAGCAAACAAAAGTTTTATCAAACGAGCACTTAAAATTCTCATATATTCATATCATCATTCCTCTCTTCACAACTCCAACTTAGGTATGTGGGGCAAGTGGAAATTTCCCACCCTTTTTTGTTGCATGGCTACCGGTCGAGGAGGAAGAAGCAGGTCGATGAAGGAGGAAGCGAATTTTGACTGTGACTATTGTAACTCATATCGCCCTATGCAGAAGACAGACATTTATTTAACTAATGATCAGTGATCTCATTCAAATACTCCCACAGGTTCCAAATTGTATATAGATGAAAACATTGGACTCATAAACATATAATTTTATTACATTGCTTCAACCAAATTACAAAAACTAGGGCCAATCTTGATAAGTCTAGACCCCAAACCCCTGATCTGATTTTCTAAATTCCCATAATTCATCTGTATTCCAAGAAGTACATGTCAAGTCCTCACTAAACAAATCAAACTCTGACACCCGGAATTCTGACATGGAAGTATCCTCGGAACCAAATGCTGACATTTCATAACTTGTAATGTCCACGTTGTGACAATCATTTTGAACCGAATGATCATAGGCTATATTGTCACAAATTTGTTCAGGAATGCCTAAATTTTCTGCATTTTCAGACAGCATAAGATTTCCCACAGAATCTAAGGAATCCCAGTTTAGATTTGTGCTTGATTTTTCCCTGTGCAGATCAGATGTATTCACACGGTTGCTCGATTTTAGACATGGCGACGTCAAGGGGGGCCTGTTTGTTGAAGGGGTTGTGGAATTTTGATTGTCAATGGAAGGAGAGAACATTAGTGAAGAATTTTGTTCCATTTTTTCTAGCAATCTTGGCATCCAAAATCGTCGAATTGCTTCCACAAACTTGTAGCTATTTGAGTCGACCTTAAGTTGTCTTGCCTGTTTTTGTACCCTTGTTCTCCAGTAGTTCTTGATTTCATTATCTGTTCTTCCAGGTAAACACTCTGCAATTTTTGACCACCTGCAATCAGACAATGTTACAACAAAGATCTCAAATTAAAAATATCTTCAAAAAATTACTAATGATCATTTGACATATTTGGTTGGACAGTGAAGGAAAATATTAAGAAGGAATAACGAAACTAAAATCTTGTTCATTATATTATCCAGTACTGCGTGCACAGAACGCACCTGTTCCCCCACTTGGAATGAAGTTCAAGAATCAGGAGTTGCTCTTGTGGGGTGAGGTCTCCACGCTTAATGTCAGGCTTCAAGTAATTCAACCACCTTAATCTGCAACTTTTCCCTGTTCTCTTAAGCCCTGCAAACCAAAAACCATACAAGTTAATTAGGAAAACTACAAAATAAGTAATTACGAAAAAAAATCTTGAGGTTTGTGAGCCATCGAAAAATCATTTTACCAGCACATTTAGCCAGAGAATTCCAACGGCCTTCACCATTACAACTTATGTAATGAATAAGCAGATTATCTTCCTCAAGAGTCCAGGGCCCTCTTCTCAGTTCAATAGATGGCTCTTCATATAAGTTGCTTAAGCTTTTGAACAGTGTCCTATTGTCACTCATGATCATGCAATGGAAAGCAGGATTATAAGAAGGGAGAATTTTGTTAGGTGTTTAATTAAAAGCCAATAAGTGATTTTATAGTAGTCTAAAAGAATTGAGGAAAGAAGAGGACCCACGCAGAGAGTTTCTCCACATGATAACAACTTCTTTTTCTTGATAACAACTACCATATAGAATTTTGATAGTCAGTGTGTGCAATGAAATAGTGAGAAGACATAGTAATGCTCTTTGTGTGAGCATCTAAGTCTGCGGAATCTCACTCATGGTTCATGCGAATTTAATTACTATTCACTCACTCCCACCTATCTTGGGGATACCAAAAATAGTAAGATGTTTGTACGATACAAAGTTTAATCATATTGTACACTTGATCTCTCGGTTAGGTCCTTTATTTTCGTGAATATATTCGATACTCCAAATATTTATTAGATCGCCCTAATAATTTAGGGAACAAGTTTTGAAGGTGCGAGCGAGAAAAATGTTGGATTCTCTCTTCTTATTAAAGTTCAAATAAGTAGGGACAAGTCGAGAATTTTCACAATGAAGGTGAACTAATTTAAATTTTTGGGTTTGCTTTAGGTGTTTTCAGTTTTATTTTGTTTGTTGTTGCTGTCATGAAAGGGATTATGGTGCAATTCTTAACAAGAGATATACCCAAGAAATATTTAGAATTTTATGTGATTTCCACCAAGTTGCAATTCTAGGTTTTTCTTCCAAAGGACTTGGGGTCAATAACTTGACAAATCAAGATCGATGTAAATATTATAAAGATAACTCGATTCACTACGAAGAAAATCTTACAGATACTGAGTATACTCGTACATTAAAAGTCGTAGCTGGCATTGTAGCTAAAAGATCAAATAAATTAATTTGAAATATGCTTCAAGAACTCATCGACTGACCACAAAAATCAATCAATGAAGGAATTCAATTTGGCTATTGCTCCAAAATCCCATGCATCGATACAAGTGTTAGCCATGCATGTTGCAATTGATATATTCACAAAGATGGCCTAAGGGAAAGAACGAGGAATTGCCTACAGAAAAGGGAATTCTTGAAAGTGTCATTTTACGGAGTGATTCCTTGTTTCTTCGTTTTCATGGAATTTTTACGCAAGAAACGTGCTTGACTAGCTATCACTACTATATGATTCCACGTTTTAATTTGGTCCGTCAAGTGCGTAAGGCGGCAACCACATGGTAGGTCTAAAATTCGAAGAATCTAATATTATATTTGATGATAATTATCTAACTGTTTGATTCTTTTTATGCTCTACGGTTGATACAGATTTAATTGGAATAAATATATTTCACATCATAACTCAACGTAGGGTTAAATACAGAGCATTTTGATTCTCGTTAATTGGGAAAATATGAGTTTTGAATGGTATTTTTAGAAGAATGTATGGTTAAAAAGTAGAAAAAAAATTTAATATACGTGTAAAATATTTTATCAAGTAAACGTGTGGTTGAAAAATGACCCTTTAGCAAATCATAAATTAAATTAATGGGTGTCAAACAGGCAAATGGTTTGCTTCGATTTGGTTCGGTCTAGTTTGATTCTTTTTGGTTGATGACTAAAAATGACGCGACAAATTTAGCATAATTTAAGATGAGTTACATGGGGTAATTGTTTATTTATATGTTGTAAAAAGAAGAGTAGTATTTTTTTTTTTTATTAAATGTTTTTGAAAGTGTATTACAGATGGTGGGAGAGTTCGTCCTTCATCGGAGGACCGTTGCCCCTATTTATAGGTCTTATAACCAAGAGTTAGCCGTCCTATGTCACATCAAGCTGCATTGTCCATCTCGATTCATGCGCCATCGCCCTGATTGAAGAAATTTCATTGGTTGTTGAGTTTGGTCCGTCAAGTTATCATTTCACTTGGGCATAATTGCAACTTAGATACCATGATTACATGTTGCTTAGGTAATCGTTACTTCATTTTGATTGGTTGTTGGTGAGGTACTACCTATCTTGTTTGAAATGTTTGTAGGTAAGATGTTGTCAGCATCATTAGTTGGGCGATGATTATGTTCTTCCACTGCAGCTTCTAACCTACCTAGATGTGTGTTCACTGGCTGACCGACCTTCTCCAATGTTTTTGAAGTCATTTTTTTTAGGAATAAACCATACGCACAGAAAAAAATTTCAAAGATGTTTTACACACACTAACATGTATGGGGCCCGCCGAAAATAAAAAAATGAAAAAAAAAAAGAAAGACCACCCCCTTTTGAATTTGTGAGTATCTGTGAAAGTAACCACCTCTTCCCGTTACGTAAATGTAGCATTGTTCTAGTTTTTAAGAAATCTGTAATTATTCAAAGAGGTGAGTATGTGATTGTACATGAGGTCAGAACCCCCCTCCCCCAACCAACACTTTTTATCTTTCATAAACAACTGTGAAATTCAAATTTTGGTGTTAATTTTTTTATTGCACTTCCATTCCTATTATTTTGACTCTACAGATTTGTCAATTAATCTGAATAATTTATGCAAAGAAAAAACAATTGTTGGGAGCAAACAAGAAGTCCCACACCGGTTGGGAGAAGAAAAGAAATCCATCATATAACCCAAGTGGGCTACTCCACCCATTACCAATTGGTTTTGGGATGGAACCTCACTTGGACTTGGTGGTGTGGGCTTGGACCTTGGGTAATTGCTCTCAATAATTCCCTANAAGCGGCGGGTCCCGTTTGGTCGAGGGCGACGATAACAACGGCGGTACAAGATAACTGGCAAATGGATTATCATTTGAGGGGAGGCCACAATGATGTGGTTCTTCGTTTGAGAGGAGGATTGTTGGGAGCAAACAAGAAGTCTCACATCGGTTGGGAGAAGAAAAGAAATCCACCATATAATCCAAGTGGGCTACTTCACCCATTGCCAATTGATTTTGGGTTGGAACCTCACTTGGACTTGGTGGTGTGGGCTTGGGCCTGTCAATTTGCTCATTATTTTCCCTACAATAATTATAGAACAAAAATGATGAATTCAATTATGTAACTTGAATCGAGACCAGAACCAAAATCTCTTGATTGGTAGTTCGAAAACTCAAAAATTATTAAACTTTCATTAGAACTAAACTTAATCGAATTAATTAGTTCAAACAAACTCGACCCTTCTCGAACAATTTCAGACAAAATGTTCATCCCTAACTCTACATATACCTAGCCCTCGTACGCACTATGCATCATTCTCACTATCAACTTTCTTTTGATCTAAATAAAGGAGTTGAATATCTCTTTATAGGTTAGATAAAGCTGAATTAGAGTAACATCATCATCTAGTTAATTCTCCAGTTTTAATTCTATTTAAAATTCTTATGAAATAAATATTTATTTTTGAAACTCATTTATTCACATTTGGTTTACTCTGAGTTTGAAGTTATTTCTTGTTTAAAATTAAATTTATAATTTTAATTTTGCTCCAAATATTTGAATTTATTACTAAAAAATTATGATGTCCAGAGTCAATTCCAGACGATTCTATATGTCTCTTACAAGGCTATCATAAAATTTCTTCTAACACGGAATCTTGAATGTTAGATATGAGTTCGTTAGGATATGTGCCTTAAATATTACAACTACACTATGATATTTGAAATTTTGACTTGTCATGATATAAATATTGTTTATTTATTTGTATTGTTTAAATTTGTTACATTATATGATAAATGAACATGCAGTTAAATTCTTGTTTGATTTGGATAAAAATCAAAATTTTAGTAGATTTTGATAAAAATTGATATGAAATATGATTGAAAGGTTAATAAAAATTGTGGGTTTCATAAAATGCATGAATGAATTTGACGGAACAATAAACTTTAAGAAAATGAGGGACAAACAGGAGCTCAAGCGTCTTTAACCACCTTGTGATAATATGAGTTAGGTGTTTGCATAAAGAAGCATATATAGATATGACGCACTTTTCAATCGAGCATTGATTTGTCCTAGCTAGACTGCTGAATAGATGTTTATGCTTTGTTCCAATAAGATCATAAAATTAGTTACCTTACCAATTGGAGTACATGTTTTGCTTAACCGTGGCTATTGGATTTTAAAATTGACGACTTGAAATAATATTGTTTTATGCGATTTTAATTTGAGAGAGCAGTTTCTCACATTTAGTAGAATGGATGAAAACTAATAGTTATATTCCACAACCTTGGATCGGCTTGATTGTGATTTAACTATTAAAACTAAATTATATAAACCTAACTAGGTCTCTTCAAAAGCTTCATAAAAAGTATTGGACTTAATTGCACTAGTGATGAAAGTTCAGATACTACACTATAAGAAAGGCCAAAACAGTTTGCTTTAGATATTAGGACAAAGAAAAACAAACCCCAAGTCTGGGGTCTGAGACCAGGGCATCTCAATTGCCGTAGCCGACGCCGTTAATCACAGAGAAAAATTATTTTTTCTTGCTCCTATAAAAAGTCAAGTCCGATTCTAAATTCAAATTTTGGTTTCTTGGTGTCCACTTACTTGTGCAATCAGTACTTTGGGTTGAGATTTCAATTTGTAGGTTTGAAGCAGTATAGTCGATAGAAAATTTGGAAGTCAGAATTATCACACTTCAATGGCAATTTATTTGTCTAAACCTGTATACAAGTTAGAATAGTGATAACACGACAATGTTTTGTACAACAATTGTGGGTCCTTTGTCTCCTTTTTTATTCTGATCACATCAGTGTTCAAATTGTACAATTGAATTTTTAAATAATATATAATTCGGTTGGAAAAATTGGAAAATGCCAAAAGAATAGAGCTTAGTCAAATCTTGGATAGTAGACTTTTCATAGAAATTTGGTTATCTATAATTCCTACGAACTATTTTTCCCGATAGAATTTTGTATCTATCTTTAAATTCCCATTACTCCGTAGTTTCTTGAAGACGTTAAATTTTCTCAAGTTTATCCATTAAAGTAGCCATAGATAACTTAAAACATGACAACTTCATGTGGGGGCCTGCCGAAGGTTGAAATGTGAGAGTC